GGGGCTGTTACTCAACTCTTTAATCATTGATGAATATTATCAGAAGTGTTAAGAATTGATGATTTGGTAGAGTAATATGATGTTTTATTTTTCTTCTCTGTTTTGTGTAAGATAAGATTTTTGAATCTGTAGTCCTACGAGTACTTTTTTTTTTTGGAGAGATTTTCACTGTAGGGCGCGTGCGCTCGCCAGCCAGACAGAGAGAGACATAGAGACAGAGAGCGAGAAATCACCCCCCAGGGGGGATGGTCACGCCGCAATCCCTTCTCCTCCATTCTCCTCTCGGGATCTTGGGCACGCACGCACACGCGCCCGGCGTGAGTTTTAAGCCACCGGGTCCGGGACACGAACCGCGGTCGACTACGTGGGAATCCAGCAACATAGCCATTACGCTAACTGCTGGTTCCCCTACGAGTACTTTTTTACATTTTAGTATAGGTATTATTTTACCTTTACATATTGAACTGTAACTTTTTCCGTTCTATTTTGTACCTATATTTAATTCTTTCTAAAAATTTAAATACCATGACAATCTTCTGTTCTTTACAGATTTTCTTAGGTCAGTGTCAGGTACTCCTTGAGTCATTTTTCATAATCTGTGTTGTACATTCCATCCATATTTTAGAACTGATCTTAGAATAGTATTAGTACTTGTGTGTTCGCACATAAAAATAAAAACATATACATATACAAACACAAACACACCTATTAAATGGAATGAGTTTTCAGATGGAAGACCTATGTAAAAGTTGAACATCTAGTTTAATGTCAGAACTGAAAAGGAGAAAACCAGCAGTTAGCATAATTGCAATGTCGCTGAACTCCCACGTAGTTGACCGCGATTCGCGTCCCGGACCCGGTGGCTTAAAACTCACGCCGGGCGTGTGTGCGTGCGTGCCCAAGATCACGAGAGGAGAATGGAGGAGAAGGGATTGCGGCGTGACCATCCCCCCTGGGGGGTGATTTCTCGTTTTCTGTCTCTATGTCTCTGGCTGGCTGGCAAGCGCACGCGCCCTATAGCAAATCCAAAAAAAAAGAACTGAAAAGGAAATAAACCATCTGTAAAATTGTTAAATAAAGGGTGATGATCTTGAGTCCAGTAAATGACTATTCCAAGGATGAAAGAAGACAGCAAAGTATAATGTCATATTCTGTCCAAATAAGTCTGGAATTTTGAGGAAGATGAGAGGAGAAATAGTCTGGAAGTGGCAATAGGCACAGAAAAAATACTTGCCAGACTTCCATGCCCTGTAGAATACTGAGAAGACTGTAGAGAGAACCCTTCCATGGCTTCTTTGATACAATTTCTTATAGTATACTCTTAAACTGATTTATTGTTTTTGTTAATACAGAAGGTACTTCTTTTTTTGTTTGTTTTTTGAGAGAGATTTTTGCTATAAGGGCATGTGCACTCGCTGGAGAGACAGAGAGACAGAAAGCAAGAAATCGCCCTCCGGGGAGATGACCAAGCTACAATCCCTTCTCCTCCATTCTCCTTTTGGGATTTTGGGCATGCGATCACATACTCCCGGCATGAGTTTTAAGCCACTGGGTCCAGGACTCAAACCATGGTCAACTACATGGGAGTCCAGTGATACAACCATTATACCATCTGCTGGTCTCAGGAGGTACTTCTTAAATCATGGATAAATACAATAATTATAGCATTCATTTTAATAATAACAGTTATAGCACATGTAAATGTAAAAGTGACCCAATAGTGGAAGAATACACATGATGGTGAATATGAAATGTCACATTTTTTGTCTAGTCTTAATCTTCTGTATTGTAAAATGAAAGGAAAAGTAAGTATTTTATTGAGTATAGTAAAATGTTATGTGTAAGGAGCATTTAAATCCCATACAAGATATATGCCTAAAAGAATTCATGGGCTGTCCCTGTAGGTTACTATCAGTACATTGGAATCTTAGGATAACATATGTTAAAAAACAAGTAGATTTCAAACATTTTTGTGTAGGACCTAGAATAAAAACATAGTTATTGATTTTACATTGTTATTCAATAAACACAAATGTATTACACACTCTACTACTTACACAACTACAAATAAAACTGAGAGAAAAATTTTATGAGACAATGCTTTGTCTTTACTATGTAGGATTTGCTTCAGGAGTTTAATGTTTGTGCCATCCGATGTTATAGATATAGGCACAAGTGGTTATTTAAATTTAATTAAAATGAAATAACATTCCAATTGCTTGTGGCTACCATAATGGATAACACAAACATAGAAAATTTCCATCATTTTAGAAAATTCAGTTGGGGCCAGCTGGGGACATAGTCGCTAAGGCGCCGGATTCCCACATGTCTGACCATGGTTTGAGCCCCAGACTCAGGGACTTAAAGGCTTAAAAAATCACACTGGAGAAGGGACTGTGGTGTGACCATATCCCCGGGACGTGAATTCTCATTCTCTCTCTGTCTTTCGGGTGAATGCATGTGCCCTATAGCAAAATCTCTCAACCAATCAGTCAAGTTCTATTGAACAGCTCTGGCTCGATTCTACCCTATTCTTCTCTGTTTTCACTTGTATTCTATTCTGTTTTGTTCTATTCTATTCTGTCCTGGTCTTCTATTCTTTCATGAACCACTATTGAGTTGAAAATTGAAATTTAAATATCAAAAGAGACTGTATGTTTGAATATCTTAACACAGTAAAATACTCACTGAAATGTTTTCAGGTCAGTGGATTCACCATAAAATATTTGTATGGCTACAACATGCAAATACTGAAACAGATTAGCCAATAAAGGCACTGTACAATAAAAACAAAACACAAGCCACTTATGTAACTTTACATTTTCTAGTAAGCACATTAAAAATAGAAGAAATTAATGAACTACTTAAAAGAAGTAATTGTGCAATTGAAAACATGTTTTGTTTTGTTTTCTGGACCAACCATGGTGACATAGGTGGCAGAATGCCACTCTGTAACAATGGAAGCCATGTGAAAGATGGGAGGGGGATGGATTTGGATCACAGGTTGACCTGAGTGCACATACCTAAGATCTTGGCTGGCTGGAAGGCAATGGAAGGGTGGGAAGTAACACATGATGAGACCCTGTTGAGAGGCCTCTGTCTCTTTCTCTTTGTTTCCTTTTCTCTCACATTTTCTCTTGTGAAAAAAATAAGGTCAGTAAACATTAAAAAATATTTTTATTCAAATTAATATATAAATTAAAATATTGTGAATATAAAATTGCTAATAGTGTATTTTGCATTGTTTTATACTAAGTCTCTGAAATATAATGTATATTTCACACTAATAGCACATTTTAGGACTAAAAGCATTTTTGTTACTTTTTTTTCTTTTACTTTTTACATCTTTTTAAATTTTGTTTATTTTTTGCTATAGGGCACATGCACTCCTTAGGGAGAGATAGACAGGTAGAAAAAGAGAGAAATTGTGAAAGCACCCCTCCCCCCAGGGGGATGCCCACAATGCAATCCCTTCTCCTCCATATATGCCCTACATGTTTTTCAAGCCACCTGGTCCAGGGCTTAACCCTTGCAGTTGGCCATGTGAGATCCAGTCACCTTAACGATGATGCTACCTGTCTGGCCCAGGACTAAAACTATTTTAACTGCTCAGGAGTCACATCTGACTAATGGTTACCATATTGGATACCATAGCTAAAAATAAAAAAAAAATTGATGTTTAATTTCAGTTCTGCCTGTCTTTACAATTAATCAAATATGGAGGCTATCATAATTCAATTACATAGTATTGATAGGAATTCAAGCTATTTGATTATAATATCTGGCTAGGAACACATAGTTCTGTGTCCAAAACTTAGTTTATGTCAGGCTGGTATTGAGAGATGAGGACCAATTTTTGAATTACTTGCATGAGTATATTAACTTCAGTTTTAAAATTAACACTCATGTTGTATAAGACAATTTCATTATAACAAAAATTCCAGACAGTGACAATTTTTTTAAAGAGATTTTTGCTATAGGACAAGTGCAGTTGCCTGAGAGACTAAGAGAGACAGAGAGACAGAAAGCGAGAAATCAATCTCTAGTGGCTAGGCCACGCTGTGATCCCTTCTCCATTCTCCTTTTGGGATCTTGGGCATGCACACACACACCCCTGGCGTGAGTTTGAATCTGCTGGGTTTGGGACTCAAACTGCAGTTGACTACCTGGGAGTCCAGCAACATAACCATTGCACACCAACTGCTGGTCCTGAAAGTTACAATATTTGACACTAACCACTTTTATAACAAAATGTTTAATAAGTTATATATTAAATGTTTACAGGAAACCTGGGAATGTTATAATTGGATATAAAATAATACAAATACATTTTTATTTCATTTTCTTTTATACATTCAATCACATAATATTTAGCTGCATTTTAAATGATGCAATGAATAAATTGTTAAAAATTACTTCGTAAGGCCCCAGCAGGTGGGATTGTGGGTGGAGTGCTAGATCCCGCATTGCCTGCTCTGTAGTTTGGGTCCTGCACCCTCGGCCTGAAAAACACACCAGGCATGTGTGCGTGCCAGTCCAAAGTCCCAAGAGAAGAATAGAGGAGAAGGGATTGCAACACTATTCCCCCTTGGGGGATAATTTCTCACTATCCTTCTTCCTGTGTCGCTCTCTAGCAAGCACACACACCCTATGCAAAAAATCTAAAAAAAATTGATTTCAGAAGAATATATGTAAAAATAGTCACTCAAGACCAGTTTCTTTAAAGCTGATGAATTTTTTTTGCAGTTATTATTATCATTTCTTAATTATTGCAGGAAAGCTGTTGAAAATTACTACTTTCATGAAAATTTTGAAAATATTTTCTCGAGCTTCCCATTAAATTTCTCTTGGCCACAATAAGATTCAATTCTGATACTTGCATCTAGATCTTTAGTTTGGCTTCATGACTTTCAAACCAGAGTAACTTTAATTCCTGAAATCTATCTTTCATTTTAGAAAACTGATATCTGATTAATCTGACATCTCGTTATGTGTTGTAGGTTCAATTTCATTTTCTGTCATAAACAAAGAAACTGATGATTATGAAGATGAAACAGATCAAGAGCCCCCTTTCCGTAAGGCAATATCAAGACTATCCCACATTTTAGACAAGGAAGACTCAGGTAAATTTATTTTGACACATTCATGATGAAAGTGCATAAATCATAATTATTCACTTTTAAATAACATACTTTACATGCATTATATATATATGTATACATTTGTGTTTCATATGTTTCTAAGAAATTGATTGTATTATTTAGGGATTAACTTTATGTAGCTTACTTTCTGGATTTCTACTGCTATTATTATTAATAAATCTTATTATGACAACTAGAATGCTGCATACTCTTCTATAATGAAAAGTTTTCCATATTTTTTCATTATTAAAAAATAGATCAAGTTTCTGAGAAAATGTTAATGAGCATATTATTTCCACAGTGTAATATGCTTTTCTTAATTCAATAAAAAGGATGCTAGTAATCTTTTCCATCTTCCAAAGAAATTAAATGGCATTATTGTCCCTTGTACTATACAGTTTTATTTAAATGTTGATAAACATCATATCTTTTCGGAAAAAAAAGTCAAAGGAAAGTGAGATTGTAGAGAATCAGAATAGTTAGGGCAAATTTCTTGGAGAATGGGTGAATGAGTTGTTCTTTCATGGATGAGTAGCAGGTGCATACGAGATTGTTAGAGGATATTATTAAATGATTAGAGAGAGATTTTTAAGGCATTAGTTAACACTTTTGTGGAAGCCGGGGTATCCAAAATCTGTAGAGAAGCCAGAAGGTTAAAACTTTAGGTAAGAGTTGATGTTGCATTTTTGAGTCTGAATTCCTCAAGACAGGACAGGCAGGCTGGAAACTCAGGCAGGATTTCTTTGTTGCAATCTTGAAAAAGAATTGTTCCTCCTTTGAGGAAACTAGGTTTGCAGTTAGGGTCTTAACTAATTGGAAGAGACCCATCCACATTACGGAAGATAATCTGCTTTTTTCTCAAAATCTAATTTAAACCATAATCATATTTTAAAAACAGCTCCATGCCAGCAGGTGGCATGGTGTTTAGGGCACTGTACTCCCATGCTGTCGACCATGGTTCAGTCCCAAACCTGGTGGCTTGCTTTCTCACTTTCTCTCTATCTCTCTGTCTCTCTCTGGTCAAAATAAAAGTAAGTAAATTATCTGTTGAAGATATTTTGTAGTTTTATCAACTGTATTAAGGGGAAATGTTCACCTGTTGAAATATCCATTTTGTAAGACAAATAATAATGTGATTGAATGTATGAAAGAAAGTGAAATGAAAAAAATAAAGGAAAAAAATGAATGAATGAATAAATAAATAAATAAAATTAAATAATTCTTTAAAAAAAATAGCTCCATGATAGCATCTAGAACTGGAGTGTGACTAGCACCTTAGCCCAGCCAAGTTAATACATGCAATTACATGTCACAATAAAATTAAATAATTCTTTAAAAAAAATAGCTCCATGATAGCCTCTAGAACTGGAGTGTGACTAGCACCTTAGCCCAGCCAAGTTAATACATGCAATTACATGTCACAGAATACACAAATTGAAGAGTGGTATTTAGGCAGTGTTCAAATGGTTTGAAAAAGGAAGGATAGTTAAAAACAGATCCATGTAACAGTAAACTGTGTTTAAAGGGAAGAGAAACAGGCCACTAATGGTGGTGATATTTATAATGAAATACCACTAAAAATGGAAAGCATTTCAGAAACTGGCATTGGTTGATTGTCTTTAGAAAGGAGAATGAAAGAGGGAATTGATTCCAAAAAATAATGCTTATTTGTATATTTTTGAATAGAAAAAGAATAAGATGGAAATTTTGAAGGAAAATAAAAGCCTAGGAGATTATTATGTTTAGCACAGTTTTGTACTTCCTAATGTTGACATGAAAGCAAGACATTTCCATGGCAATTCCAGTTGTCAGTTGACCTTGGGCACTGATACTAGCTGTAAAAAAAAAAATGCATTGAAAAAGTCTAGGTTTTTTTCTGTTAAAATCATTCAGATGAGACCAAAGAATTGATGACTTTTATAAATAAAATATGCTGAGAGTTGAATCCTCATCAGTATCTAAGGCAGAAGATCCATTAGAGAAAAGCAGGTGAAAATGTTAGGAGGAGTTTTAAAGAAAGTCAGAATATTATGATAGGCTAGTAGACTAAAACAGAGTGATGTCAAATAAAAAATACTAAGCTGCATGATGATAGGTTGCAAGACAGATTAAGAGCTAGGAAAAATGTATTTAATAACATTTAAGGATATCTCCATTTCTTCAGACCGTCCTTCCTTTCTCTGTTGCTTCCTCTCAGAGGGGATTACTTTTTTTATCCACTATAGTATCATGGATCTTGTTTTACAGTCTGTTCTGCAATATATTTATTTTCATTTAGAGAAATCGTCTGGCTTAACTCTCATCAAAAAAAAAAAATGACAATTAAACAAGGATTTTTTTTTAACCTTCCAGATAGGGAAATGTGAAAAATAATGGCAACACCAGTTTTAATTAGTCGGGTCAAAAGAGATAATCAAGTGCACTGTAATGGAAATTTGAATTAATAAAAAATTTCAGAGAGAACATTTACAGTGGATTTAAAACATTTAAGAATTGTTATCTCTTTTGACTCAGAGATTTGGTCTAGGAAATTTGTTAGAATAAAATAATTGAAGATATACACAACTTTTTTTTAGAGAGATTTTTGTTATAGGGCACATGCACTCCCTGGAGAGACAGAGAGACATAAAGGGAGAGATTACGCCCCTCTCCCCCCCACCGCCACCCCAAGGGAGGATGGCAATGCTGCAATCCCTTCTCCTCCATTCTCCTCTCGGTATCTTGGGCATGTGCCCAACATGAGTTTTTTGGGTTTTTTTCCCCGAGGTTTTTGCTATAGGGCGTGTGCACTCGCCAGACAGACAGAGAGAGAGACAGAGAGACAGAAAGCGAGAAATCACCCCCCAGGGGGAATGGCCACACCGCAATCCCTTCTCCATTCTCCTCTCAGGACCTTGGGCACGCACGTACACGTGCCCGGAACGAGTTTAAGCCACTGGGTCTGGGACGCGAACCGCGGTCGACTACGTGGAAGTCCAGCGACATAGCCATTACACTAACTGCTGGTCCCGAACCCAGCATGAGTTTTAAGTCACTTGGTCCGGGACTCAAACCTCAGTCAACTACATGGGAGTCCAGTGACATTACACCATCTACTTTTCCCTGTGTCTTTTTTTTACATAAATAAATAAATAAGTAAGTAGTTTTCTTTTGGTCAGGGAATTATGGATGATTTTCTTTTTGTTGTTGTTGCTTGTTTGTTTTGCTTTTTTTGTATAGGACATGTGTGCTCGTGAGAGAGAGAGAGAGAGGGAGAAAGAGAGAGAGAAGGAAAGTGAGAAAGCACCCCTCAGGTGGAAATGGCCATGCCACAGTTCTTTCTCCTCTATTGTCCTCTTGGGATTTTGGACACATGCACTGAGTGTGTTTTACAAGCTGCTGGGTATGGGACTCAAACCACTCAGTCAACCATGTGCGATCCAGTTGCCTTCATCACTATGCCATTGGTTGACCCTAAGTAATTTTCATCTTCATGCTATTCAGGTCTTTCTCAAGTTGCAATAGTGTGTGTTATTGATTTTATAATTTAAAAAAAGTTTTAGTATGTTTAAGGTTTAGAATAAAATAATTTTAATGGCTATTTTTATTGTTCTTCTTATTTATAAGTCATCCACTAATCCCACTCTAATAAATTTATATTCAGTGTACATTTTGCCCTATAGGAACTAAATCATTAGCATCACAACACTGCCACACATGGTAGTCACAGTAATTAGAAATAGTAGCTGTTATTGTCTCTGTGATGGTTAATTTTATGTGGCAACTTGGCTGGGCCATAATACATAGATTGGTCAAATTTAACCTGAAGATTTTTGTAAAAGTTTTTTTAAAAATGAGATTAAATCAATAGACTGAATAAAGCAGTTTACCCTTTATTATATTATTGGGCCTCATCCCATTAGTTGAAAGCATTAGTAAAACAAAGTCTTGGACCAACCAGTGACAATTAGTGATTTCTCACTCTCCCTTTCTTCTCTCTCTCTCTCTCTCTCTCTCTCTCTCTCTCTTTCTCTCTTACTCTCTCTCTCTCATGAGCACACAGGCCCTATAGCAAAACTAAAATGAAATAAAAGAGACTGACCTCCTCTGATACCCCTACAGATTTTGGACTTTCCAAGCCTCCACAATCATGTGAGCTAATTCCTTAAAAATGATTCCTTTCCTTTCTTGAGACCAGCAGTTAGCGTAATGGCTATGTCGCTGGACTCCCACGTAGTCAACTGAGGTTCGAGTCCCGGACCTGGTGGCTTAAAACTCACGCTGGGCGCGTGTGCTTGCGTGCCCAAGATCCCGAGAGGAGAATAGAGAAGGGATTGTGGTGTGGCCATCCCCCCTGGGGGGTGATTTCTCGCTTTCTATCTCTTTGTCTCTCTCTGTCTGGCGAGCGCACGTGCCTTATAGCGAAAACCTCTCCAAAAAAAAAAAAAGAAAAAAAAAAGAAAAAATGATACCTTTCCTTTCTTTATATATACACATCCTATTGGTTTTGTTCCTTTGAAGAACCCTGAGTAATATAGTCCCCGATGCTATTGGCAGACTGCCTACATATAGGCAGACTTATGTCATTTTGCTAAAGATCACAAGGTAAAAGTAGTCAAGCTGGGATTTAGGCCTTGGTCTACTCACCCCCAGTCATTCTATAGGTCATTACACTAACCTAGCATCATGGAATAATCTCCTTAGTCATAAGTGCTGTTTTTCTCCATGTTTCTTTCCTCTGTGAGTTCAGTGTGGGTTAAAGCATTGAAAAGGCCTAGATGAAATATGCATGAACTACCTAAAAGGGGAAACGTTTTTCATTTTAAGGATTTTAGTTTATTTTGGGAGAAGTCACATTTAAATGTCATAAAAGCATTCAAAGTGCTATCATGAAATTGAAGGAGCAGCCTACACAAATGTGAGCAGAGGTTTCCACAATAATATTATATCGGTATAATTTAGTAACCTTATTCTCTGAAAATTAATGGTTTTAAAGAAATGAACTGGTGTCTGTAAACACCATTGGAGCTAAGTTTGGCTTCAAGAACTCCTTACAAGTATTTGATATGAGAACTCACCTGTGCCTCCTCTCTTTGTTCTTCTCACCAGCTGATTGCTCTGACAGTCTCAATTCTCAGATCCATACAATTTTGTTTCGTGTTTTTGAGAGCTAAGTATTAGAATAGCGTGAAATATAATACAATGTAGTACTACACAAGGGGACTTCAAAAATTTATGAAAAACTGGAATTTAAATATGAGGATTTTTTACTATAAAAATATTTTGAAATCATGGGACAGTTGGTGTAATGGCTATGTCACTGGACTCCCATGTAGTCGACTGCAGTTCGAGTCCCAGACCCGGTGACTTAAAACTCACGCCGGGCCCATGTGTGTGTGTGCCCAAGATCCCGAGAGGAGAATGGAGGAGAAGAAATTGAGGCATGGCCATCCCCCCGGGGGATGATTTCTCACTTTCTGTCTCTCTGTCTCTCTCTGTCTGTCTGGCAAGCGCACATGCCCTATAGCAAAAACCTCTCAAAAAATATTTTGAAATCATGAATTTTTTATAATATGCATTTTCCATAAACTTTATGAAGATTCCCTCATATGATACAGAACAGTAAAATCCAATGCACTACAATGCTATTCAATGTCACACAATGCCGTATAATACAATACAATACATTGCAAAACAATATACTCATGGTGCTCTTTGTCACATCTACTGCGAGGATAAAGACCATTCTCAGCAATCAGACCATCGATATTCCAGAGAATATCAGCATCATTCTGAAGGAATGCAGAGTTATTGTGAAGGACCCCAGAGGAACCCTGCAGAAGGGACTTTGATCACAGCAATGTAGAGCTCAGTCTCCTTGGAAAGAAAAAGAAGAGGCTGTGGTTTGACAAATGGTGGGAAAACAGAAAGGAACTGGTTCCAGTTCACACTATTTGTAGTCACATACACAACAGGATGAAAGGTGTTACACTGAGCTTCCACTATAAGATGAGGTCTTCTGTACGCTCTTTTCCCCATCAATGTCATTATTCAGGAGAATGGGTCTCTTGCTGAAATCCGAAATTTCTTGGGTGAAAAATACATCTGGCGGGGGCGAAGACAACGCGCTGGTGCTTGTTCAGTATCTCAAGCCCAGAAAGATGAGTTGATTCTTGAAGGCAACAATATTAAACAATTCAGTGGCTTTGATACAGAAAGCCACAACAGTTAAAAATAAATATATAAGGAAATTCTTGGATGGTATCTATGTCTCTGAGAAGGGTACAGCTCAGCAGGCTGATCAGTAAGATAAGTTCTAAGTTCTCCAGCTACAGTAATAAGCCGGATAATTTCTAAGGCCATTATATGACATTTAAAAAATAATAATAAAAGACAAAAATTGATTTGAAACTTTTTCTTAAACTGATTATCCTTTTCCAACTACTTGGCAAGTAAGCAGTTGAAGAGTAAAGAATTACTCCTAGTAATAGGAGTATGCTAAGAACAACGCAGAAGTCCTGATCAGGATTTTTGTGTGTGTGTGTCTAGTTGTTTTTCTTCACAGGAACAAGTGGCTTAAATCTGGTTTTTGAAAGAATAGCAAGGATATTTCAGGCAAGAGAAATACAGTATCAGGGAATATGTAGCAAGGATATTTCAGGCAAAAGAAATACAGCTCATCATTGGATGTAGAAGTTGGGGAAGATCCTGAGGCTAATTTTACCATGGCATCAATTTTTATTTGGTACAGATGTGTCCTAGTTACTTGTAAAGAGATACCTGAGAAGTGCAACAAAGTGATAAAGGCTTACTATGAGCTAGAAGATGTAGTTTGTGTCACGATCAACATAATTTTGCCATCTAATATCTCAATAATCTGCCCTAGTTCAGCCGTGCACCCTAGAACTTGTTTATTGTTAAAAAAATTTAATAATCCTTTCATAATCTCTTAAAAATATATACTCATGGAAAAGATTTTCAGAAGAGAGAGGTGCTGAGAATTCCACTAGTCAGTACTCCCTGTTTTGTTTTATATGAGGAAGCTGGAAACCAAAGAGGTTAATGAATTACCTAAATCAGTTAATCTAGCATAGCCATTTATGAACTCTTTTAAACATAATACTGATACAGACAATTTACTGAAACTGAAGGACTTTGTATAACCATGAACTAGTTCAACACTGGAAAATGAAAGACTGTCAAAGTAGGAAAGTGACTTGATGGGGAAAAAAAAAATGGATAGAAGGAATCTGGGTTTGGGGCGAGTATAAAAACCTGCTAATGGATGGCCTTTGAGGTTCACTAAGGCTCCAGTTTTAGAGTGGGGAAGTGTGGCTTTAGACATCACCAGCACAGAATTGCCTGATTTTTAAAAAATATTCAAAACCCAGGTATAAACATCATTTTTTCACTACTTAGTCTATATCCCATT